TTTTCATTTATTTATTTATTTATTTATTTATTTATTTAGAGAGTGTGTGTGTGTGGCCAGCTCAGCCCACCAGGGGGCGGGGCTGGCTGGCATGTGGTGCTGGGGGATTGAACCGCGGTCCCTGTGCTTTGCTAAGCTTGTTCTAAGTAGGTGCTTTAGACCACTGAGCCATCTCACCAGCCCCCTTGAATTAATTTTTAAAAATGGTGAGAGGTAAGGTTCCAACTTTATTTATTTATTTAATACCAGGGATCAAACTCAGGACCTTGCACTTGCCAGGCAAGCACTTATTCAACTGAGCTATCTTCCCAGCCTCTTCCAACTTCATTCTTTTGCATATGGAAATTTACTTGTCCTAAGTGAAGAGAATTTTTCCAATGAGTTTGCTTAGCATCTGTATTAATTCTCCAGAGAGACAAAACCAGTAAGATAGATAGATAGATAAATAGATAGATAGATAGATAGATAGATAACAGATTTTTTTGTTTGGGATTTTTTTTTTTTTTTTTTTTTTTTTTTTTTAGAGGAACTAGCTCCTATGAGAGCACTGAATCCTAACCGCTAGACCACGAGGGAAGATAGGCTTCTATGATTATGAAGGCCGAGGAGGCCATCTGAAAGCTGGCAGCAACTGATTGGCTCAGATCAAGTCTGAAGGTCTCAGAACCAGGGAAGCCGATGGTGTGACTGTTTGTTCCAGTCCAAAGTCTAAAGAACTGATGGTGTAACTCAGTCTGAGGATAAGGCCTAAAAAACAGCACGGGGGTTATCTGACTTGATAGAACACGGTATCTGGTAAGAAGAGGTGAGTCACTGAGGGCTGTCCCAGAAGAGCATATCTCTAGCCCCAGCTCTTCCCTTATCTCTTTCTGCTTCCCAGAAAGTGATTTTTGAAAGTTTTAAATTTTACCAGCAAAGAAACCTCTACAAAGTTGGGTCCTGAAAAGTTACAGCAGAGGAAAGCTTGGTTGCTGAAAAGATTAGCAATAAAAAACCTAGTACTTTGCAACACGCCAGTAGAAAAGATGGCTTGAGGGACTCAAGGGACCAAGCAAAATCCAGCCCTTTGAAGGCTGAGTTGCAAAAGTGAAACTTGGCTTGAGAAGAGCCCCATAGCACCTTGCTTGTGAAGGGGCATCTAGAGAACTGGTTCCTAAGAAATTGGCTCTCCAGTTTTTGGTTTACAGTTCTTGGTTATCTAGTTACAGTACTCAGAGGCCTCTAGAGCTGCAATTCAAGGGGGCCTGGCTACTGCTTGGGCTGGCAGCAGACCTTGGCATCATCCAGTTGGTGCTGGTTCTACAAGCATGCAGAATACAAGCGTTGAGGAGTCAGGGAGGCTTTTACCCAGATTTTAGAAGAAGGCTTGTGCCTCTGTGAAACAGGAAGAATGAAACAGTGGAGACCCCAGAAAGTTGGAGAAGCAAGAATATGGAACATCTGAGGAAAGCCATAAGAAGTGAGCTAAGTCAGCTCAAGAGAAAAAACTGTAAGCTATACAATCACTGGCAGTGCTGTAGGGGCAGGGCTGCTCAAGCCCTTTGGAGTTCACACCTCACCACATCTCACCCCAGGTGCTGGACAAAGAGCTACAGGATTTAATGTTTGCCCTCTTAGGTTTTGGTCTTGTTTTGGCTCTATTGGTTTCAGTCTCTCTGTTTTTCCCCTTTGGAATGAGAATGTTCACACTGTGTTATCGTATGTTGGCAGTATTTAACTTTGATTTTTTTATAGGGGCTCACAGCTAAGAGTTTTGAGTCTCAGAGGAGCCTTTGGACTTGGACTTTTCAGCAATGCTGGATCTTTGGCAACTCTTAGAGATGGACTCTATTTTTGCATAAAAAGATGTGCATGAGTCTTTTGGAAACCAGGAGCAAAATGTTATGATTTAGATCTAAAGTGCCCCAGGAGCCTCTGAAGCAATCACAGATAGAGGTTTGGAAGTTGGATTATGGCGATTTATACTAGACTTGCTGCTAAAAGGCAGGGTCTGTAGGAAAAGGTGGGTCACTGGGATGTGGCCTAGAAGGGCGTGTCTCCCTCTCTGGCTTCATCCTTATTTCTCTCTACTTCCTAAACACCATGTCCTGAGCAGCTTTCCTCTGACATACCGTCCTGCCTTGGAACCAGCAGCACAGAAGTGAAACCTCTACAAACTGTGAGCTAAAGTAGACTTCTCCTCCCTTAGGCTGAGGGTGCTGGTACTCTCTCAGTGATGGGAAAGTGGCTATGGCCACACTCTCTTTCATCAGCACTATCTGATCTACCCAGAAATGACATTGTACTAGCTAGCTATGTATCTTTAATCCAGAGAAGATGACATTGACAATTAACCATTACTCTTGCCAAAAATCAACTGGCCATAGATGTATGTTTATTTCTGGGTTTCAATTCTACTCTATTGAGCTATGTCTATCTTTAGTACCACACTGTTTTGACTAAAATTTTGAACAATTCTCTTGCATCTAGGAGACATCTAATCTAGGTACAAGCTCCAAACTGTACTCTAAAGTACTTTAGGTCTCAAATCATGATATAATAATTTCTATATTTAATGAATTTTTTTCTATAAGTAAATCACAATAAATTGAAGACAGGTAAAATGTAAAAACTAAAAATTTGTCTTCATATATTATTTGAAATTTTAAGTGAAAAAGTATTTTTGGTGGTACTTGGGATTGAGCCTAGTAGTGCTCTACTACTGAGCTGCCTCCCCAGCCCTTTTACTTTTATTTTGAGATAAAGTCTAGTTAAGTAGCCCACTCTAGCTTCAAAAATAAGATCTGTCTGCACCATCTCTTCAGTAAACTGGGATTACAGATACTCACCATCACATTTGGCTTAAGTGAACTTCATGATATAGTCGTTCATGTTCTAAAGACAAAATAAATATTTAGTCAAAGTCAAACACTGTTTTTTCTCATGCACTACTTAGGCCAAGAGGCACAAGTCTAAGTCTACAGTCACAATGCTGTGGAAGACTAACATAGGAGAACCGCACACTGGAGGCCAGCCTGGACAACTTAGTGACTTAGCAAGGCACTGTCCTGAAATAAAATTTAAAAAAAAAAAAATGAGCTGGGGATGTAGCTGAGTGAGAAGGCCCTGGATTCAATCCTCTGTGCTACAAGACACCTCCCAAAACAACCCACAAACAAAATGACTTAAATAGTGTTCTGTGAGTCAAAAGAGAATTAGGAAAAATTGCTTCCATTGTATCTCCCACCTGACAAGAAAGAGCACGCCATTTTCCAAGGCACATAAGCACCTGAGCAAGTCAGTGAATCCCTAAAGTGAATTCACCTCTGTTACCAACTGGTCCTGGGTCTCCACAACACTATATGCCTTTCTTTTTTTTTTAAATTTAACATTTATTTATTTAGTGTGTGTGTGTGGCCAGCTCGGCCCACCAGGGGGCGGGGCGGGCTGGCATGTGGTGCTGGGGGATTGAACTGCGGTCCCTGTGCTTTGCTTGGCTTAGCTTGTTGTAAGTAGGTGCTTTAGACCACTGAGCCATCTCACCAGCCCAATGCCTTTCTTCTGGGCATGCTTTCTGGTGAATTTACCACCCACCTGCAACAGAAATATTCCTTCGACAGGCAGGCCAGACCTAGCACTGTCCCAAGGAGAACCCATGGATCATAGTACGGTGTGATGACTGTGGGGTTAGAAGGTGTGTATTGCCGTGGGCCCCAGATTGTGCAGCAGAAGCCTTAACTCAGTGCAGGAACAAGGAAGTGTTTCTGGAGATGATACATGAGGTCAACCAGGCTGGCTTGAACAGAAGCTGTTGTAAACCTCAGTGCGTGTAGCCAGACCACTGAGTGGTTCACTGTGGTTTCCAAGCTCAGCAGGGTACACTGTCCTTGGTGTCACTGGCTTTAATGTTTCCACGGCTTGTGACCCCTCTGCACCAGAATCACAACAGACCTGTAACCTGCAGGACTTGAAAGGGTGCTCTACATCTACCAGATTTTTCCTTCCCTGGGGATGGCTCAGTTGGCCTTCATTCATGAAGAGAACTTCCTGGGCCTACCCCACAGTTCCCTAGGGTGAGGTTGGGCCAGCGTCTCTTCTTTCATTTCTTATTCCAGACAGAGTCTGCAGAGGTCAGGGACAGGGACCTTTAGAAAGTTTTATTACAGTTCCTGGCAGCCTTTGATTGCTCCCCAAGAGGCTGCCCAAAGAATCACTGTGCCTGAGTCAGGACACTGGGCCGCTGGCCAGCTCTGCACTCACTCCTTGCAACTTCAGGCAACGAAGTCCTTCCTTTCTTCTGGGCCAGGGAGTTTCCAAATAGAACCAACTGCATCCCTTTACTCTTAGGGTCTAAAATTTCCAGCTACCAACTGGGCCCCTTAATCCCTGCTCCACCCTTACCCTCCACTGGCTGTTCTTGCAGCTCTGAACCTGTTGGGAATTTTTCTGTCGTCGAATCCCTGGACTGGGTTTTCCCAGTTTAGTCTTTTTTCTCTCCCTCTGACTCTGATTTAATCCTCACAGACCAGACTTGATGCCATTATCTCTGAAAAGCAGGTCTCTTCCCTTCGATCTAGCCCGCCTCTGTGCTTTTTCTCAGGCTGCATGTGCCTCAGGGAGTTTGTGTCCTCTTGGGAGTTCATGTTCGCGTCTCCAGAACCCGGGCTAGGACTGGGGTAGCTGGAGAACGTTTTCTTTACTGCCGGTCGCGGCGAGGTTAAAGACTTGGGTCTGGAGGTCCCGCCTGCGGAGCGCGCCAGCGGCCGAAGGGGAGGCCGCCCCGGAGGCTCTGCGTCTGAGAGGTCGCCGCGGAGGCGCCAAACCTGGGCCCCTCGATCACCTCTGGCACCAACAGCAGCCCCTCCGAGGAAGACGCTTTGGTGGGCCTCAGCGGCGCAGGACCCGAGACGGCTTTCGTCAATCCACGAGAAGCGCTCCCCTGTGCGTACACTTGGTACGACCCGGGGATTCCCCGCGCAGTTGTGACGTCACGGGGTCTCCTCGAGGCCACGCCCGGCGGATCGGGCCGCGCCTTCCGCTGAAGGGACAGCGCTCGGAGCGGGATGGAGGCTGCGGCCATGGCGGGGTCCGAGGGCTCCTGCGTCCCGGTCGCCCGAGCCGCCCTTTGGAAACGCCACATCATGCGACAACTGCGGCAGCGGGATCGCACGCAAAAGGTGCTCTTCCTGGAGCTGGTGCCGGCCTGTAAGTGCGCCCTCGGGGGCTTTGAAGGTGCCGTGGAGAAGGGCCCCTGCACTCGAGAGGATTTGTCTCACTGCTCTGGAGGGCCCCAGCACCCTCTCGCTCCTGAGGTCCTGTGCCTTGTGCCTCCAACCTGGCCACTCCCCACTTCCTAGAGGGCAGGATTCCGGCCTTTTTCAATACAGGCTCTGCGCTCCTGGTGTCCCTCAAGGCTTGGCTCTGCCTCCCACTAATTGACACATTTGTCTCTAGTGTTGGTTTTCAGGATCTCCTATGCCTCCCCCGTCCCCGACGATCCCCAGGGTAGGTAGGGCCTGATTAATCCATTTGGTCTGCGTGGGCCAGTGGAGGAAGGCAGGACTGCTCAGAGCAGCGACTTATTAGCAGATCCAGCAATGGAAGAAACTGAACCTCAGGCTCTGCCACTGATAGGTGATCCTGGCTGAATTCCTGGAGTCCTTGGGTGCCCAGCCCACCCCTGCCTGAGGGAGCAGCAGAGGCTCCGGATTTCTTGAGGATCTTGAGGATGCTAGCTGAGCTCTGGGAAATCAGACTTTCCAAGAACTCTTTCTGGGCTGCTGGTCAGGGAGGCATGTGGCAACAGGTGTGCTGGGGGCCTGGGAGATAGCCCAGTAGAATAAGCGCTTGCCTGGCAAACGCAAGGGCCTGAGTTCAATCCCCAGTTCTGCAAACAACAACAACAACAACACACCTAGGTGTGCTTATGTGTATAGGGCCTCTGGTCACCTGAGATCCTGTGGCTGAGGCTGCAAGTCTAGTCACAGTCTCTGCAGCTCCATTGCACCCACACATTTACATCTGCTTGTACCCTGGGAAATTTCACTGAAATCTTCCAGGTGCAGGCAGGTCCTTTCCCATCAGGGTTGGGAGGCCAGCCCCCTACCTCCAGGCAGCCTGGCTTTTCCACTGCTCAAATGGGTTATGGGACTTCCTGGTTAGAGGAAGGACTACATATACCCCCTCCCCAGCTGGAAATCCAAGGGCCTGTAGAGCTTGAGGTACTGAAATGAGATCCTGAAGGTCCCGCTATCTCTGTGGTCTTGGGCAGTTCAAGCCTCTTGCCCCAAATGTCATGCTTTATATCTGTAAATCAGACACAATAGGCCTTTGGACTTATTGGAGGGTGGGTAGCAGTACAGTTCTCTGAGGGCTAAGGTGGGGTTTTGTGTGAGGACTAGGCCAGACCCAGGGATCTTAGTCAAGGTGCCCACTGGGCACTGGGTGAAGGAGGGTAGCTGAGGGGACTAGGCTTACCACCCGCAGTCTAGAGAAGACAAAGTCAGCATGGATGGATAGTGTGTGTGTGTGTGTGTGTGTGTGTGTGTGTGTGTGTGTCCCAGGGTCAAGCTACCAACTTAAGAAGGTCTGTTGGATAATTGCTCAAGGACTTTCTGTTTTGAGCTGGGGCTACTTTGCACCAACTTTGAGGAAGTAAGGATTGCTTTAGTGGAAGTCGCTCTCCTTGGAGAGGAAGTGACTGACTGATGGCCAGATGCAGGTGAAGCTTTTTTTTTTTGAGACAGGGTCTCACTGTGTAGTTCAGGCAGGCCTTGAGCTCACAGTTGATCCTTTCTGCCTCAGCCTCTGGAGTGCTGGCATTACAAGTGTGTGCCACCACACCCAGTCTAGGTGAAGCTTTTTGGTTGTGTCATTTTGCTCTGGAGCTGAGCCCTGCCATGGGCCAGATGAATCAATTCCACTTCCCTCAGTACCCTGCCAGCCATCGCTGTCCCCAGCAGTGGTGGTCCTTCCATCCTGTGAGAGTAGCCTGTTTTCCTGGGTGGGTCCAGGGTGGGGTCTGAGGCAAATCTGTGAAAAGGGCCAGTGTCATGAGGAGCTTGTGCCAGCAGAAGGCCCTGTTGAGCTGCACAGTACCCCTCAGGCAAGGGGTAGAGCACACTCCTCAGAGCTTGCCTATTCCAGCATCCCTGGAATCCCTCTCTCCCCACCAGAGGTGACTTGGAGACCAGTGGTCTCCTGGGGCATGTCTGTCTCTGCCCCAGGCTCACCCTCTTGTACCCTCAGACAACCGTCTCCTAGAGAAGGCTGAGTTGCTGGCCAAATTCTCAGAGAAGCTGCAGCTGGAGCCCAGTGAGGTCCCTGCCCCCCATGCGGGCTCCTGGTGAGTATATGTAGTGGGCTGTCAGTGCTTGGATCTGCTTCCCCCACCTGGGTTCATTTTTTTTTTCCTGGTACCTCATTTCCCTGCAGCTGCAGGGGTGAGTGGGCCCTTAACCCCCACCCCAGCTGCCTAGCACCTGCTTTCTCACTACCCCTTGCTCCTTGCGTTAGCCTGTCTCCTTCCCCATGCCCCTGTCCTCCTCCCCTTCTCAGTCTTTGCCCATCTCCTGGTTCCTTATCAAATGCCTGCAGGAAAGGTCCAACTCCATTCCAAAGAGGGGGTAAAAACAAGAGCTATGGGTTGGGGCCAGGTGCTTTTTGATAAGGGTCTCTAGCCAGGAAACCCAAGGCCTGGACAGTTCCAGAACCCAGGAGTCACAGAAGCTCATTTCTGAGACTTGACTTTTCCTCGACTGCTTGCTGGCTTCCACTTTCCCCAGAAGAAAGTTAATGGCTCTTGGGCCATGGAGATAGCTCAGCAGTGTAAGCCCCTGCCTAGGCACATGCAAGGACCTGGGTTCGATCCCTGATACCAGATCCCTGGTACGGTATGCCATGCAGGCACCACCCCAGGCACGCCAAGCCAGCTACGAAGACTGGGCATGCCTATATTCCCAATGCTGGGGAGGCTGAAACAGGAGGATCACTATGAGTCCATGTTTCATAGTGAGACCCTGTACCAAATACATAAAATTAAAAAAGGAAAAAAAGTTAATGGCTCATATTTTAGGTCATATTGGAGGCCTTTGGGCCCTGGGGTAAGTGGGGGTGGTGGTTATGGTCCTGAGTGCTACTCATCGCTTGGCAGGGAAAGGGAGTCAAGGCCTGACTCAGACGGAGTCACGTCACCAGCCACTCTGAAGGTGAAGTGGCAACAAGAGGAGGAGGGGCTCCGGCTGGTCTGTGGTGAGGTAAGCTGGGCAGGGATGCAAGAAGGGGACAGGGCCAGGATCCAAAATTTTGCAGTAAGGAGATACAGTTTTCCAAAGGTGGCAGTGAGAATCTGCTGTGTTAGCCACATTCCCTGAGCCCAGTGCAGCAGGAGTGAGCGCCTGTGTGTCTCACAGGCGGAGGGGTAGGAGGTCAGAGTGGCATCCTACAATGAAGTGGCTGTAGCAGGGGCTGGAGAGAGACGAGATCTCAGGGAAGAGAGTGGGTGGGCAGGGGCCTGGCAGCCTGTCCTCCCTTCCTGATGGTTTAGCCTGCTTGTTCACTTCCATTTTCACCTGTCCACCCCTCATCCCTTGTGCAGTCAAGCTCTGGGCCCAGCACCATGTAATATACATGTGCAGGCTGCCTAAGGCTGAAGTACTCTGTGGCAGGATGAGGTACCTCTCTTCACTTGACACAGCTGCCCTTCCTGTGAATGGTGTCTCTTGGCTCCTGTTTCATGCTCATCCCTTCATTCTGTGGCTGTTGCTTCTGAGCTTGCTTCTCTGGCTCCTCTCCTCCCCACTACCTCTATTCCTTTAAATGTGAGTGTTCGTGGAGCTGAGTGGGCGCTCTGGCCAGCATTTGCTGACTTCGCCGACTCCTAGGTCTACCTGCAGCCCAGCCTTTCCTGAGCCCTGCACTTTCGTGCTCAGCTGCTTTCTTAACCTCACATCTACAGTTACCATCTCCCGGTAGTTCAGCCAACACCACATCAAGGGTTGACTCCCTGTAAGAGCTGGACTGTAGATTATCTCAGTTAATCCTCCATAACTTCATAGTTGCAGAAGAGGAAACCGAGGCTTCAGGAGGTAGAGCCTATTTGAACTTCCTGTTCCCTGCCTGTCATCTCCATTCATTCTTTCAATAAATATGAACAGTTATCAACTAATATGTATTAACAGTTGGGACATACGAGGCATAGAGAGTACAGCCACAAAACCTAGCCCTGTGGAGTTGCCACAGGACAAGACGGAGGGGCCTGTATTTATAGTGTGTCAGGTGACCTGCCCAGCCCAAGTGTGGAAATTCTAGGAACACAGCAGAGCATCTCTTCCCCCAGAGTTGCTGTTGTGTTTGCAACTTGATAATGGTGTGACATTGTCACATGTGCAGAATGGTGTCACCATCAGAGGAGGCAGCACTATTTCATCACAGGATCTTCTTGCTACCTCTTTTTATTTTTTATTTTTATTTTTTGTGGTACCAGGGATTGATGCTGTGCTTGCCAGGCAGGCACTTACTCTACTGAGCTATCTCTCCAGCCCAAGTATCTTTTTTTTTTTTTTTTAGGTACCAGGGCTTGAACTCAAGACCTTGCACTTGCCTTGCACTTGCTCATTCTTCTAAGCCATCTCCCAGCCCCACTACCTCTTTTTAGTCATCTTAACCTCCCTCCTTCCAATCCTCTCTAACTAGTGGCAACTACTAATCCATTTTTTACTTCTATCACTTAAGTTTTGACAAGGATCAAATAAAAAATAATGAATGGTAAAAATGCAAATGGCAGGCAAGGAAGTCAGGTCATGATTGGATTGCTCAGTGGGGAAAAAACTGTGTCATAATGGCCTGCTAGAAACGTAAGAGTGTGTGAGGTCCCTCCTCAGCCCTGCACAGCGAGTTGTGTCAGTGCAGTCTGTCTTTACCAGGAAAAAAGTGAAAAAATACCAGGACCAGGTTCACAGCCCCCAGCTTCAGTTATTTACCGGGCTGAAGGTGCTCAGAGTCCGTGGGCCTCATGTTCCCCTTGCCGCCTGGTGGGCACTGCTTTACCTGGGATCTGTCTCTCCTACAGACCCCTTAGCAGCAGCAGGAGGGAAAAGGCCTCAGTGGCTCTCCATTGAAGGGTTGCTGAGTGAGGCAGAGGTACCAATGAGATGACCTGTGCCCCACTTCTGGGCTGTAGGCAACTCCATTCAGTCGGGCTCTGTATTCCCACATACCGGTCTTAGCCTTGTGTGGCTCTGCCCTGAAACCTGTGCATCAGGTTAGGACAAGTCACTTAACCTGCCAGTGTCCCCATCAGTAAAGTGAAAATTGCAGTGCTTACCTTATAATGTGATTATGGAGATTATGAGTTAATATTTGTAGAATGCTCAGAATAAGGCATGGCACATGTAATTGCTAAGATAAACATTTCCTGATATTTGAAATATTTCTCATAATTGGTGTTACCTGATGAGGTGAGGACTATCATTCTCATTTTACAAATGAGGAAGAAACCATCCCTCTTTCTCTTCCTATGAGCGGCCTGAGGTGACCTGTGAAAGTGGTTTGCTACTCTCTTGACCTAGAAAACCCACAAAATCATGCAAATCAAGAGGCTCAAATCTTCATGTTTACTTTAAGAACACGTGTGAAACTGCCCAGGCCATCAAGGGTATGCATATCTGAAAGGCCACCAAGTATCTGAAGGATGTCACATTAAAGAAGCAATGTGTACCATTCCTGCATTACAATGGTGGAGTTAGTAGGTGTGCCCAGGCCAAACAGTGGGGCTGGACTCAGGGTCAGTGCTGAATTTTTGCTGCACATGCCTAAAAATGCAGAGAATAATGCTGAGCTTAAGGGTTTAGATGTAGATTCTCTGGTTATTGAACATATCCAGGTGAACAAAGCGCCCAAGATGCACCACTGTGCTTAGAGAGCTCATGGCTGGATTAACCCATCCATGAGCTCCCCTTGCCACAGTGAGATGATCCTTACTGAAAAAGAACAAATTGTTCCTAAACTAGAGGAAGAGGTTGTACAGAAGAAAAAGCTATGCCAGAAGAAGCTGAAGAAACAAAAACTTATGGCACAGGAATAAATTAAGCATAAAATAAATGCAAATAAAATAAAAAAAAAACCCAAATGAGGAAAAATCAGAATCCTCATTTGAGAGGAAATGAAGAGATGAAGTGTCACAAAGATGCCACATTGCTCAGGCTGGGCTGGAACTTTCAGTCCTGCTTCACCCTCCCAGGTTGCTGGGATTACACAGGGGAGCCACTATGCCTGGATGGCTGCAGCAGTCACCCTAAACCTCATTGCCTGTCAGGGTTCTTGTCCGGAAGGAGGTGGGCATGTGGGGGTAACGGGTGACAGCCCAGAGGGGCTGGAGCCTGGTGTGAGCCCTGCGGAGGTACCCATCCATGCCCACCTGTTCGACCTCTCCCCGAAGATGGCCTACCAGGTGGTGGAGAAGAGCGCAGCTATGGGCACCCAGCAGTTGCAGCTGGAGGAGCGGCAAGGCAGGTGAGGCACCCAGAGAGGGACCATACTTGCCCAAGGCGGGGGTGGTGGCGGTGGCATCATAGGACCTGAGCTTTCCCCAGGTCATTCATTAAATAGTCCTCTGACCTGAGACTAGGGTCAGAGGACTCGGGGGGGTGGGGGGGGGAGGGGGCGCTCTGAGGCTTGGCTTGGTTGAAGATGTGGTGCGGCCATCTGGAAAGCTATGTAGCTAAGGGCGGGTTTATCAGCCCAGAGGCCCGGTCCCACAGGGCGGTGACCCACCTGTGGCCCTCACTGCCCTGCAGGCTAGCAGCTCTGGAGGCCCGAGTGGCGCAGCTGCAAGAGGCGCGGGCCCAGCAGGCCCAGCAGGTGGAAGAGCAGCAGGCGAAGAACTTGGCGCAGCGTGCGGCCTATGAGGATCTGCGCGTGCGCACCGGGAACCAGGAGGCGGCACTGCGCAGGCTCCAGGAGGAGGCCAGCAGCCTGCTGGAGCGGCTAGTGCAGCTCAAGGCACGGGCTGCCATCGAGCGCAACCTGCGCCTAGAGCGCCGGGAGCGGTGAGGGCAAGCAACTAGTCCCCTTCGGAGTAGATCTGCCCCTTTGGGTAGTAAGCCTTGCCTCTCTGGGACACCCTTCTCACCTCACCCTTGCTCGGAGAGAAGTCTGGCTTTGCCCTTGTTTAAAAGGGTCCAGCCAGCAGGTAGGCTCTCCAGGGAGAAGGGACAGAGTCTGGCCACAGCCTGAAGACAGAGTGTCTTGTGCTTTACCTCAAGGGCAAGCTCCATGGTAGACCCGACTTTAGGAGGCTTTTCTCCCCCCAGGGCCAGCCAGGCTCGGATGTCCCAGGAGCTGAAGAAGGCTGCTAAGCGGACTGTGAGCATCAGCGAGTAAGAATGGGGACAGGCCAGGGTCTGCTGGCTGTCTGGCCTCGGCCCACAATTGCCCTTTGATCCCTGTGCCCAACTAACTGCACCTGGGGACCCTACACCTGCCTGTTCCTGTGCACGACCACAGTCCCAGCGTGCACAGGTGATATGGCCCCGGAGCCCGCGTGTGTGCCTGGTACTCATCCACCCCCTCCACTGACCCCTCACGTCCACCATGGTCCTGCTGGGGCAGGGAGGGGCTGGCCTGGTCCCTTGGCCTTCCTGAGCCTCATTCCCGTTCCTAGGGTCCCAGACACCCTAGGCAAAGGGATCAGGGAGAGCACGGAGACTCTGGCCCTGGCTGCTGAGTGGGACTCCCTGGAGAGTGAGGCTTGTGAGAAATGGAAGAGGCCCTTCAGGTGAGGACTGAGTGGCTGACCAAGTTCCAAGCCGGGCTGCAGGCTGTCGATTTTACTCTGGCCTTGGGGCCAGCTCCTGAGAGGGCTGGGGAGACTGGGCACAGCTAGGGCTGACCTGAATTCAAGTGCTTGGAGCCAGGTGGGCTCTGTGTCACACCCCTTTCTCTCCTTCCCAGGCCCAGCACTCTGGGGTGGAGAGTAAGGGTTGTGAAGGGTGTCATAGGAGGGGACTGTGGGCAAGGCCCAGGGTTCAGCTGTGCCTGCCATGTGCATGGCATCCCTGACTATGAACATCTGAGCATGCACAAATATGGCCCACATTACTAAGATCTGAGGGGGCTTTCATTCTCCAGCCCCTGTCTGTCTAGTCTCCACAGGTCCTAGTTTGCTGTCACTGAGGCTGCCCCCTGCTGGGCTGAGCACTCCCCAATCTGGAGCCTTCTGTCTCTCCTTGCAAGTCCCTAATGTCCAGGCTCTGGGGCAGTGAAAGCCTTGGGGAACGGCATGAGACACAAAGGACAGGACTCTGATGGGCCAAGATACCCCAGGACCCACCTTCTCTTGAGCATTTCTTTTTTTCTTTTTCCTCTCTCTCTCTCTCTCTCTCTCTCTCTCTCTCTCTCTCTCTCTCCTCTTTCTTTCTGCATTTGGTACAAGGTCTATGCAGTTTGAACTGGTAATGATCCTCCTGTTTTCATCTTCCCCAGTGCTGGGATTACAGGCATGCACCAAAACACCCAGTCCTGGTGGCTGGCTGAGCATGCTTGGGGGCATGGCTGGGGCAGCATGTGGTGCCCAGGATCTAACTTCCAGTCCCTGCACTTGCCTAAGCAGGCACTTAGTCCACTGAGCTATCTCGCTGGCCCTTCTTGAGTATTTCCAGGGCCACTCAGCCTAGGCTTTCCCTCCTGCTCCAAGCCCTGTGCTATCTCAGGCTGGTACCCTTCACCCCTCCCCACTTGCCCCAGGTCAGTCTTCCATGAACCTTTGCTAGTGAACCCCTGGGAGGTGAGATAGTTCTTACTAATCCCTCCCTCCCTGTTCCTGGGTTGATTTGGGTCCTGGTTTTCAGGGAGTCAAGTTCTTATTCCATGTTCAAGAGTTATGAGCCTTCTGGCTTCCAGCAAAGTGTAGGGAGTATTCACTACACTTTGAGTGCTGTTTGTACAGCCACTGGCCTGTCCCACAGCACCTCTCTCTGGTTCTGCTCCAGGTCTGCTTCAGCCACTTCTCTGACACTGTCCCACTGTGTGGATGTGGTGAAGGGGCTGCTGGAGTAAGTGTGTATGCACATATGTGTGAAGGGATCGGGCCTGTTGGAGCCCTGTGTCAGGCTTCCTGAGTCCAGGCTTGTCCGTGTACATGTCTCAGTTTGTCAGTGCATGTGGTGCCTGCTATCTATGTGTCTGTTGGGGCCCAGAATCAGGAGCTAGGTATCTGGTTTAATTTCCAACTTGCGCCAGCTATCTTCCAACCTCACAAGGCTCTGCTCTCACATAAGATCTTCACAAGGGACCAAGAGCTCTAGCTTGAGCCTGGAGGTACTCTTACTCAGTTGGAGATGGAGGCTCAGGATGTCAGATGTGTTCAGTCATAGAGCCAAGCAGTGACAAGGCAGTAACTAAAATCCCAGCTCTGAGGTTTCTCTGCATTTGACACCCCCACCCAGTCCTGGGCCTGTCTCTGTGTACTGCCTGCTGCATCTCCACAGGGGTTAGGCGGGGCTGGGGAAGGTGCTAAGTGTAGCCTGAGAATGTGTTCTGTTACCTGCCATGTTTGCTTCTTGTTGATCGTGAAGTCCCTGTATCAGAAACCTTGCTGAATGCCCTCTGACACTCACCCTTGCAGTTTCAAGAAGAGGAGAGGTCACTCAATTGGATGTGTCCCTGAGCAACGATACCAGAGTATCCCTGTGTGTGTGGCAGCCCAGCTTCCTGTCCAGGCTCAGGATGTTCTGGTAAGGGAAGAGCTGGGCTTCTCATGTGGTGTATGAGAGCACAGGCCGCAGGGATGCTCAGGTGGGCCAGGGAAGCAAGGCTGCACCTCTCAGTGGCGGCAGAAGTTTGCCTCTACAGCCCATGGTGAGACTGCTCAGGAATTTTACAATGAGGGCATGAGCAGGAGAGGCAGACAGGAAGCTGGGAGAGTAGGCTGTATAGGGTGGTAGGAGAGAGGCTGCTTCCGGGTCCAGGACAGGTGAGAACTGCTTGGGCCAAGTTTGAAACAAGGTTAAGGGAGAGATGGGGGCTGGGGGTGGGGTTACCAGGCCAGTAATAGGCTGTGTGTGTCCACAGGCACACGGGAGAGCTCGTGAGCGGGCACAAAGAGGCATGCGTGGGAAGACCAAGGTACCAACCTCTCCTTGCCCCACAGGACGCCCACCTTTCGGAAGTCAATGCTGTCTGTTTTGGCCCTAACAGCAACCTCCTGGCCACTGGTGGGGCTGACTGCCTCATTCACCTCTGGAATGTCGTGGGAGGTAAGGCGCCCTCCAGCAGGCCAGCCCTGTGCTTTCTCTGCAGACTTATCCTCAGCTGGCTCCTGGGAGGGCCATGGCCTTGGACTTCTCTGTGTTGCTCCACATGGGACATTCCTGTGGGCAGTGGCTAGGAACCTCTTGATAGGAGTGGAATTCTGGGTCACTGTGCTGAAGAAGGGAGAGGCTCCCTCCTGGGTTCCAGGCCTGCAGAATGGGGAGGGCTAAGTTCAGGTGATCCCTGTCGGGATGTGGGGTATGTTCCTTACTGAGGTCCTATGGGCACAGGCCTTTGAGAAGCAAGTACCTGGGCTACCTCCTCACTTGAGTTTCTTGAACTCATGAGATGAGAGCGACTGTCCACAGTGTCCCAAGCGTTGTGCTCTGTATAGGCATGTGTTAGGAACTCAGTCAACTCCTAAAGGCTTCCTAGAAGAGGCAGATGGCTAGCTGGCCCAGCCTTGCTTGCTGTGGGATGCAGAGACAGTCCTTTTCTCTGGTCCTTTCCATGACTAGCTGCCCCACCAGGGGCCCTTACCTGCAGTCTCATGGGAGTTGCAGCCTCCTGCTCAGGCTTCAGAACAGCCAGTGATTTGGTGCCCAACTGAGGAGAGACTGATTTTGCCCCTCTGCATCCCAGTTCTTCTGTTTCACTTAGCAAGCTATTACTTGTTCCATCCTGTTTCCCCAGGACGCCTAGAGGCCAACCAGACCCTTGAGGGAGCTGGTGGCAGCATCACCAGTGTGGACATGGACCCCTCGGTGAGAGGATTTTGCCCCACTGACATGAGATCTTTTCCCCAATCTCCTTGTCAGGCAGGTGGGGGCCCTGAGACCAGGGTAGAAATTGTGGGTATCCTAGAACTGGGCCAGTGGGCTCCTCCCTGGCCTAAGCTCCCCTGCCTGACTTGGTGACCTGGGTATTTGGGAGCTCTGAAGCAGCCCCTAGCCCCAGCCCTCTGGCCTGAGGGATGCTGCTCTGGCCAGGCACAGGCTCAAGATCTCTCTGTCATTTCTCTAGGGCTCCCAGGTTTTAGCAGCTACTTACAACCAGGCTGCCCAGCTCTGGAAGGTGGGGGAGGCACATTCCAAGGTGAGGCGCGGGGGGGGGGGGCAACCTAGGGTCCAAGGGTCACACTTCTGGATTTTGGGGGGGTTGCTTAGGGGGCCTTGGCCATGCCCTTGATTGATACCTGGGATGGGGCAGGAAACACTGTCTGGACATAAGGACAAGGTGACGGCTGCCAAATTCAAGCTAATAAGGCACCAGGCGGTGACTGGGAGTCGAGATCGTACAGTGAAGGAGTGGGATCTTGGACGAGCCTACTGTAAGGCCCAGCCCTACCTCCCCTAACTCATCAGCCAGCGGTCCCCAGGCTCAAGGGACTGCAAGCTATCTCTGGGACTCAGGCCCTGGGGTGAAACCTCCCAAGATCCTCCTGTTCTGTCTCTCCACTACTCTCTGCCTTGGGCTATAGGCTGGTGAAGAAGGGGAGGCATGAGACCTGGGTTATAGCCTTTGGGGGAAACTATCCCTTTTGGGTCTTAGCATCACCACATGTCCAGTGGGCTGGCTCCCAACAACCTTGAGACCTTGTTCTCTGCCCTTTGGTCCCCAGGTTCCAGGACCATCAATGTCCTTTCCTACTGCAATGATGTGGTGTGTGGGGACCACATCATCATTAGTGGCCACAATGACCAGAAGATCCGGTTTTGGGACAGCAGGTGACAGGAGTGGCTGTGGGTAGATGTTGGAGGCCTGGAGATAGGGTTCTTGGAGTTCTTGTTCCTTTCTCTGAGCATGGCAGGAAGGGTCATGGAGACATCTCAGAGAAGTGAGGCTGCAGACCAGTTGGTCTGACACTGGACTCTGCCTCAGGCTTAGAGTCCAGATAAATGAGAGAGGAGGAGTTCTTCCTCATCCCTCTCTCTCTGGGATGCTCTTCAGGGGGTCCTGCTGCACCCAGGTCATCCCTGTGCAGGGCCGGGTCACCTCCCTGAGCCTCAGCCATGACCAGCTGCATCTGCTCAGCTGTTCCCGTGATGATATGCTGAAGGTCATTGACCTGCGCTTCAGCAATGTCCGCCAGGTGTTCAGGTACCAGCCTGTGGCCTTTGCTGGGGTGGCTACACTGTTCTCCTCCTGTGCACAGCCCTCTGGGGCTCTCTCTGGAGCTCCTTTCTGAGGTACCCAACCTTTGATCGAAAAGGGTCCTGGAGTTCCCAGCTGGGGGCAGGGCTGAGGGGACCTCCATTTTGACCCTGGCCCCATCTCTCTTCAGGGCTGATGGCTTCAAGTGTGGTTCTGACTGGACCAAAGCTGTGTTCAGGTGTGTCTATGAGAGCATACCCTTTTTGAGTATGCCTGTCAGGTTGTGTGTGTGTTCTCATCTCTGAGCTCATTTCTCTTGCTCTGCTCTGGCTACCATAGCCCTGATGGACACTATGCACTGGCAGGCTCCTGGGATGGAGCCCTTTACATCTGGGATGTAGACACTGGGAAACTGGAGAGCACCCTTCGGGGTCCCCACTGGTGAGTACAGCCACCCCCTTTCCTGCCCTGCCCTGAGGCCTGCCAAACTGAAGCCAGGTTCTGACGTCAACCCAAACTTTCCACTCCACCAAAGCCTTTCACAGGTCCCAAGGTGCTCTTCCTCATGCACTGAGCCATCCTTACCACAGCCCTGTGAGCTCATTTTATAGAAGAGGAAATGGGCTCCAAGGGCCCTAAAACTGCCCTGGCCCAGGAGGGAGGGAGGGGCAGAGCCTGGCTTCAGACATGGTTGCCCCTCACACCTGCTCTTCCTTTTGTCAGTGCTGCTGTCAATGCTGTGGCCTGGAGCTACTCTGGGAGCCACGTGGTGAGCGTGGACCAGGGCAGGAAGGTGGCACTGTGGCACTAGGTTGTGCCATGACTCCCTTGGCTGGGCTACAGCGCTGGTCTGAAAATGAAGCCAAACAGTTTCCCTCTGCTTCACTGGGCTCCAGAGCCTTGAGTTGGTGGGTGGGGGTGGCCTCCAGACATACGGGGCAGGAGGCCTGGCAGGACCTGGCCTGTTTGTTTAAAAACAAAGTAGGCATTTTGGAAATTACAGTTTTTAAAAAAATCCTTGTCTCCTCACTTCTCCCCAAAGGGGAAAGAACTGTATCTAAACTGTGTCTGTCTGCTGAATTCTTTGCAGCATTCAGGGTAAAAGGAGACTTTTGGGCTGGGGGTTGGGGAGGTCCAGCCTTGATCTGCTTCTGCCTGCCGGGGAGATGGCGACTGTCCCGTTGAGAGGCCAGAGGCAGCAAACAGCAGTGACTCTTGGGGCCATAGAGATGGGACCCTTGGTCCAGTCTGGACAAAGCAACTCCATGGGCCTCTCACTCAGGCACCCTGAACAGACTGCAGCTGCAGAGAGCAGGGAAGCATCCCGGAGGGGTCCTGTGGAGGGGCTTCTCCTGCCACAGTGATGTCAGGGTACTTAGTACACTGGGGCTGCCAGTAAACCAAGCCCCGTCCTGCCTCCAGAGGCAGAGCTCAGGGTGGAGAATGGCAGCATGGTCAGGCCTGGGGTGAACTTCATTCACATTTTTTATTTTTTATTTTTTTCATTTTTTATGTATTTGAGGGCTGGCCAAATAGATCAGCGGATTAAAGTGCCTGCAGGCAGGTACAGGGACCGTGAGGTCTATCCTTGGGCCTGCAGTGCCGGCCCCGCCCCAGGGGCTTGCTGAGAAGGCACTTGAGACTGGGCATGGTGGTGCATGCCTGTAATCCCAGTTCTTGGGAGGCCATAAACAGACAGATCACTACAAGTCTGATCTAGTAGTGAGACCCTGAACACCCTGTAAACCCTTTCCTAAAACACACACACACACACACACACACACACACACACACACACACACGTCATATTTGGAACAGGGTCTCACTGTGTAGCTTGGACTTGTAGTGATCCTCCTGTTTTGAGCCTCCCTAGTGCTGAGATTACAGGTGTGTGCCACCACACCCAGACTCTGTCATGGGCTCAGTGCACCCCGGGGGTGGGGGGCGGCCAGCACAACATGTGGGACGGGATTGAACCCTGGTCCCTATGCTTGCCCAACCAGGCACTTAATATGCTGAGCTATCTTGCTGACCCATTCACTCACATTTTTAATCCACACAGGGAGCCCAAGTGTGAGGACCCACAGGGCATCCCACTTCTGCAGCCCAGAGCCGAGCACAAGATTGTAGAGACAACAAGTATTGATCAGGTAGCAAATCCCGGGTATGGTGTCACACACCTGGCCTGTAATCCTAGCACTCTGGGAGGCTGAGGTAGGAGGATCATAGGTTTGAGTCTAGCCTGAGCAATTTAACAACTTAGCGAGACCCTGTCTCAGAATTTCAGAAGGGGCTGGAGATGCAGGCCAGTATGGAGGCTCTGAGTTCCATCCCATTACTACCAAAAGAAAGAAAATTACATCCTGTTGGTGCCCAGATCCCCCATTCCTCCAGGCCTTGCAGTCCCCTGGGCTCTGTGTGACATGCCCAGGTGCCTGTTGCCTGCCATACCCCCTGCATGTGACCTCTGTCCCTCACAGCAGCTGCTGTTCCTGAAGTTCCTCTTCTTCCTGGATGCCACTACAGGCTGCCTTCTAGATTTCTATCTTGTCCCAGGCCCCACTCCCTCCTGCCTTTGCCTGAGCCAGTCTGATTTCCTGAAGCGTTGCAGGCCAGTCCTTTGAAGTTCCTCTGCTGCCTTCAGGAAAAATTTCAGCTTGAAATTCAAAGCCCTTTAGATGCCACACCTGGCCTGCATCTTCCTTTGCTTTTTATTCTAAGTGTGTCTGTCCAGAATGTTCTTGTCCCTTTCATCTGATTGGTTCTTCAGGCTCCTCTCACTGAAAGCCCTTTCCTCACTGGGCACTTTAACCCGCTGAGCTCTTTGGCTGGCCCTTGCTTTGCCATTTTAAATCAGGGAGCTCTTGAAATTCAAGGCCTGTGGTGGGAAGAGTATTCCTTGGGATTCCAGGTCTGGCCTAATGAACCCTCAGGGGAAAAAAATGTTTAAGTATCAATTCTCTTATTCAGGGATACAGCAAGGTTAAGCCTTGAGTTCCACAACCCCAAGCTCTTCCAGTCTAAGCTGCTTCCCTCAGCCCTGTTCCTCCCTCCTGCCCTGGCTCCCAGTGGCCACCAGGGGACACCAGCTGCTTAGTGTCTGGTGGGACTATTCCTAGGCCTGGGGATCGGTGGCTGCAAGATGGAAGCTCCTGGTTACTGCTGAGCATTTATGTGAGTCAGCCTGGCTTTGCACTTCTCACTTGTTCTAGCCAATGTGATATAGCTGTCAGTCACATTTTACGGATGAAAAAACAAGGCTCAGATATTAAGTGATTCAAGATCACTCAGCTAATGACAGAGGTGGGCTGTAAATGCATGAATTTTTTAAACAAAATGTCAGACTTGCAGGGCCCCTCCTCTGTAGTGTGTGGGATTCCTGCTCTGTGTCCGACCTGCCTTCCCTCCCTACACCTTCTCTGTCCTTCAAGCTGGCTCCTGAGCTTTGCAGCTGCTTCTCTTGAAGGGAGGATATCCAGGCAGGAGTGAGGAAGCCTGGATCCTGGCAGGCAGTCACTGGCTACACTTTGCAACCTATGAGGTTTTGTTGCACCTCACAGGATTGTTGAGACTGCTCAGGTGATCCAGGAGAGGTGCTCAGGAAATGATGGGGCCCACTTCCCAGGACAGTGGCTCCTCTGCTTCCCTCAAGGCTTTCCTTTCACTTATGACCACACGGCTGTTGGGGTGCAGTTGCGTTCTCTCAGGGAGCTCACATTGCTGTCCTTTGCTTTTTGGAGGTGCAGGTCTAGAAGGCAAAAGACAGCTGAAGCTTTCCAGGCAGTGAGGTGGTCTGGAGGAAGAAATGCCAGTGGGGGAACATGGTCGAGGCAGGCTGACCTCCTTCCTGGTGTTTTCAGCAGAGGGGCCCAGTGTTAACAACTGTGCCAGGCCACCGAGTCAGGATTCTGATACTCAGGTGCTGAAGGACTGAGTTTGGGTTCCTGTGGAAAACGAATGGTCTTGCCCTTGCTGTGTACATAAAGTCCAGAGAAGTTTAGGGTTCAGGCAGGAGCTTAGGGTCACAAAGCAGAATGGAGAAAGGACCCAAGTCCCTGACTCTCTTTGGCAAGAACTGGACTCGGATTCTGCTGGAGGGTGGCCTGTTTTGGAGGATTGGTTTGTCCCTGTCCAGTCTCCGGAGAGATCTTGGGCAAATTACAGTGCCTGCCAAGCCTCATCTATGGAAATGATTCTTCCGTCAAGCCTCAGGCCCCTACAGCTGACAGCGCTCTGCTCAGTAGGCACAGGCCGCAGTGAATCAGACCTCATGGAAGAAGTGACAGGTGCCCTTGTTCTGGGCTCCTCTCATTCCTGGGTTGCTTCCAGACCAGGCTTGAATTTAATTTTTTTTTTAAAAGGGTTTCATTATGTAGTTCAGGCTGGTCATGAACTTACTGAGTAGCCCAGGCTGGCCTCAGACTCACAGTGAGTGACTCGCCTGCCTCAGCCTCTGGAGTGCTGGGATTACCTTCTTGTGCCACAGTACCTGGTTGGATCTGATGTTCTTGAGACTCCCTGATCAGATGTGAGCCCCTTAGTGAAGGGAGCGGGGCTCCAATGCTAAGAATATGGTCCATAGTAGTATCTCTGCAGAACAAAAGTGGCCTTTGGAGGAATCCTGACACCAAGTAGGGACCATGTGTGAGATTCAGATATACCACCTGAGTATAGCTGTTTTTTTTTTTTTTTTTTGAGATAGGATTTCGCTGTGCAGCCCAGGCTGACCTTGAACTCATAGTGATCCTTCTGCTTCCGTCTCCCAATTGCTGGGATTCAGTTGTGCAGCACCATGCCCTGCTATTTGCTCTTTGAAGTATACCTGCTCGTCAGAAACAACTAGCTCATCTATAATTATTTATTCAATCTTCCTGGATTTTAGGGAGTTTGTATTACCTTCTGATTTGCACTTTGCTGACAAGTAAAGTAAGGCCCAGAAGACAAGAGTGGCGCCTCAGGTCACAGCGGATGGGAGGTGGCTCAGAGACTTGCATACAGGTCTTTTCACCAGGCTCTTTCCTTGCCCCTCATAGGAGCAAGTACTGTGACACAGTGTGGGAGCTGTGTCGACTCTACTCACAGGTTCATTTGAGGATGAAACACTCCAAGACAATATTCCCAGACCAGAGTTCTCAGAAATAGCCATGGCAGAAGTACATTTATTTTTTTATTTTTTGAGACAGGGTTTAAATATGTAGATCAGGGTGGCCTCGGGCTCACAGCAACCCTCCTGCCTCCGCCTCCCAAGTGCCGAGATTACAGGTGTAGTCACCATATCTGGCCTAGTTGTATTTTTTGGCCATGGGGATCATGGAAAAATTGTCCAAGAATAAGATGCTCTTTGGTATTCTTATGGTTTTTGGTAAATCAAACAGTAACAAAGCAAACATGTAAAAAGTCTAGGAGGAAACTTAACTGGTGAAGCTGTAATAAGAGTTCAGTCCAAATTTCAACTCTTCCCTCTTTAGCCTACAATTTCTGTAATTTGGCTGTATTTCTGTCATGAAAAACAACTTCATAATGAACAAAATAGAAACAAAGATTCTGAGCGGCCAGATTTGGTCATAAGGCCCCTTAGAAAGGGCCAGACAATAAGTAGAACTAAGATTAAAAGCTGTTGCTGGGCTCTTTTTGTGTGTTTTTGTTTTGTTTTTCTTTCAGTACCAGGGACTGAACTCAGGACCCTGTACTTGCCAGGCAGGCACTTATGCCACTGAGCTATCTCCCTGGCTGGGCTCCTTTTGTGCAGCCTGGAATACTCATCACAACTTGGAGCAGGAGGGTTGGTTTGTCCTAGTGAATGAGTCCAGTGACTTGAACTTCTAAATTTCTTGTTATGTCAAGAAGTCCATGTATTTTCAATTCTGTTCTCAGATACGTGACCTGTTGTGTGATGTTCTTACTCAACCAATCATTGAACTGATCCACAATGAGTTGAAACCAAGCAGGCTGTAGACAGAGGAGTTTTACACACAGAAAAATGTATGCATGAATACATACCACACATTCCCAACTCCAGGAAACAGGAGTTTGTGGGATCCCTCTCTAGCAAGTTAAACCTGCTCCTTAGGGTAGCTGGTTAGAGGCCAGAGAGACTCAGCCTATAACCAGCACTCATTTACCCATCCCTGAGGCCAGTAAAATTGCTTTTTATATAATTCCTTACTCCCCAGGGTAGAGATTTAGGAAAGAGAACAGGCAACCAGAATAACCCCTTCCTGCTGGGTGTGGTGGCATGGCTATACTCTCAGCTATTGTAAGGCTGAGGGAGGAAGATCAACTCAGTCCAGGAGTCAGGGCTGCAGGGTGCCATGCCAAGTGATCGATGGATATCCACACTGAGTTTGGCATCAATATGGTGACCTCCAGGAGCAGTGGTCCACCGGGTTGCCTGAGGAGGCGTGATCCAGCCCAGGTATGGCCAGAGCAAGTCAAAGCTCTAGTGCTGATCAGTGTAACCACTTCCTGGAAGCCAGTAGTCACGTCCTCTGAGGGGATGCCATGAACTTCCTTTCACCTCTCCAGTAGCACAGTTGGAGCTCCCTCCATAGATCACCAGCACAGTTTTGTTCCTTTCTCTCAGCAGGGCTCACAGCACTGGCCTCATGTAAGGATGGAAAGGACTGTGAAAGCAGAGACCATTACTTATTTATTTCCATCTTCAGTGCCCAGGATATCACACCTAGCACACGGGTGGCGTCAGGAACTATGTCCTACAGGTGGATTTAATTTTTACTTTCTGTATTGGATAACTGATTTAAGGAAGGCTTAGGTGTACTTATCTTTAGAAAAAGCACGGTCCTTCTGGAACAGCCTATTCACCCAAATCTTTTTATAAGGACACTTAGAAAACTCAATTCCATTTTTTATTATTCAACATTTTATACATAATAAATACAAACTTTTTACAGCACTGTAAAGAAAGCGCATGTGCACAGAGGCTTCCCCTGAGCCCTGCCCTGTGCGTGTGACACTGGGATGTACGTTGTGGAGGTTTTTTTTTTTTTTTTTTTAAAGGAGGCATATTTTTACAACTTTGTTTTTTAAAATGAAATTAGCAGCTCTTCCAAAAATATAATGAAGGTTTGAAATAACTCTTTGAGGTTGTGGAAAACCCAAATCAAGGTCAATTTGGCTAGCTAAAGAGAATACACAATGGAGTGGCAAGAACTGCTCTATTTTAATAAACATTTTAATAAACACTTGAGAGATTTGTAACGTCAGAACCTTCTAAAAATCTTTTTAAAAATCCATTTAATTTGTTTTTAAACTTAAGAATAAGTTTGATAAACATAAAAAGACCTCAAATAGATCAACAGGTTAAGAAATGCCAAACAAACAAAAAAAAAAAAAACCAAACACAAGACCCAAATTGTGGAGAAGATTCAAGCAAGAACTACTGTCACTTAAGTGATCAAATGACTAATTAAAAATTTCTTCAGCTCTTGGTCAAAAGTCCCATGGGGACATTTGATGAATATTTCAAGTTTTTAAAGATTCTTGGGAGGGATGGAATTTTGAAAGCTTAATATCTTTTCTTTAAAAAATTAAATTCTGAAAATCTGACTTTTTTTTTCTTGGTACTGGGGATTGATCTTGGGACCTTGCACTTTGCCAGACAGGTGCTTATGCTACTGAGCTATCTCCCTGGCCCTAAAAGTATGATTTAAAAAAAAAAAAATGTATTTGGTACAGAGTCTCACTACATAGTTAGGACTTGTAGTGATCCTCCTGTTTTCAACCTCCCCAGCGCTAGGTTTATAGATGTGTGTACCACCACACCCATAGCATGCCCAGGGGTGGGGGCTGGCATGGCATGTGGTGCCCAGGATTGAACCCCAGGTCCCTATGCTTGCCTAAGCAGGCACTTAGTCCACTGAGATATCTTGTCAGCCCTAAAATCCGATTTCTTAACAAAATATTATTCATTATTTTGGGGGGTCAATTTGAGACAGGGTCTCACTATGTAGCTCAGAACTCACTATATATCCTAGGCTGGCCTTTAATGCAGCGATCCTCTTGGCTCAGCCTCCCAATTGCTGGGGTTATAGGTGTGCACCACCACACCTGGCCAACAAAAATTTTAAAAGCATCTGGCAAACATCCCTTTGTCCCTGGGTAACACATTCCCTACCTGCCATGGGCTGAAGACCCAGAGGGCCACTCTGGGCCCTGCTGCTATGTCATGGAGAAGCATGCCCCGCCACCAACCTGGGACACACAGAGGCTCCCTTTTCCTTGTTAGCCTGCATTTGTGCAAGCTGTGCATCCTTTAGTCCTTTCCCACAGGAAGCTGTTCTCCTCCAGGGGCCCACAGGATTTTCTCCCAAAGAAGAAGTTACTTCTTCCAAAGTAACTGGGCAGTGGGATCTGAAAGCTGAGTGACAGCTGGTCTGCCCTAACCATAACCCAGCTATTTGGGCCAGTGTGCTGGTCTGGGAATGAAATAATTCTAGGGGGTCTCCCCAGTACAGAAGCATAATGATAGACATGTGTCCTCAATGTATCCAGACATTCATGTTCAAAGAGTATACTGGTCAGAAAAATATATGCTGTAGAAACTAAGATGAGAACTACCCAAAGACAAGAAGAACATTAAACCAGCTCACTTCAGATCCAGAAGCTCCTTTTCTGTGTTAGCCACAGCCTCTTTTCTATTAGTCTGTGATGGGCAAGATGTGGCTATTAGTTCAGCCCCTCCAGGTTAGCCTCACTAACACTAACTGAATGGCATAAATATTCATACAAAGGACACTGTTATTTTAAACCTGTTAGTTGTAGAAGAGATGTGTGTTAATGTAATTGGCCCTAAATTCAGGGCAGTCTACTTTTTTCTCAGTAAGGTTCACTTTAAGTCTGGGGATGAACTTCGGGGAGGAGCCAGCCTCTCCTGATCCCTCTTTCTGTTTCCTTTAGGAGCCAACATGACATGATTAATACTTAATCAGAGGAGCAAAAGCCACTTGGAGAAAGATGAGATCTTTGCCACATCCTTGTGGCCACAGTAATATACTGTACGAGTGCACATGATCAGTAATTCTGTGACTGCGCCCTGGGATGAGGCCTGATTTTGAGTCTCACATAAAAACTGTTAGACCTGAGGGCTGTTCCCCTTTATTCTGGGGCCCACTAGGATTTGTGCTATGGTAGGAGACATGACATAGAAAATGACAACAAAAAAAAGGCACAAAATATTCAAAACATGGGAAAAGTCCACCAGGCCACCCAGTCACATAAAATCCTCCTTGGTTTTGCTCTGTTCAAGAGCCATCATGCAAAGGTGCCTAAAAAATGAGACTGGCCAAACTCCAAGCCTGGCCTTGATTGTAGCCATAGGGAGGGCAAACCATTGTCACACCAGTGTGATCTCCACATCTTCCATCTTCTCCGATGGCCTCCGGTGGTTCTGTGTAGGTGGAGGGGGAGCTGCCCGGACCTGAGCAATGAACAATAACATGGGGTGTCCGTCAGTTTCCTGAAAGAGGGCAGGGGCTGTTTGCAAATCCTAATTAAGGGCACGGGCATCCAGCATGTTTGCATCTAGGATTCACTGCTGGAAAACAGGCACTATTCTGGATGACCCAGCAATCCCACAAGTGAAGTTGCTGCCTTGGCCAAAAGCTGCATGGGACAAGAGTCATAGCAGTCCTAAAATCCTCAAAGCCATGGCCCGGAGTTGACAACAAGAGGGAAACAGAGAATTGAAAAAATGTCAGCCTGTCTTAGGAGTAGAGTTGCCAGAGAAGGTTGATGAGATAGGCTGGGGTTAAGATGTGAAGGACTGCCAGGTGTGGTGAACGTCTGTGATCCTAGCACTTGGGTGGCTAAGGTAGGAGGATCACTGGGAGCTCATGGCCAGCCTGGACTACATAGTGAGTTCAAGGCAAAAGCTGAATTAATTACTTAGCAACAACCTGTCTCAAAAAAAAAAAAAAAAATGGGCCTGATGGTACAAAACTTGTAATCCTAGCACTTGGGAAGCTGAGGCAGAAGGATTGCCATGAGTTTGAGGCCAGCTTGGAATTCGTAGGACGTAGGTAAAGAGGAGTCTTTGGGGGGTTACAGAGAATATCAGATCTGTAAAAATACTCAGGTAGCACTTTGGAGTAGGGATCAGAGGTGGACCAGAGTACAAATAAGATAACTTAGGCCAGGCATGGTGGTAAATGTCTGGTGGTGGAAGATAACGTAGGAGGCCTTTTCAATCACCTGACTGAGAGCTGATGTTAGAATGAGAGAGCACAAAAGGTGAACAAAGACAGGCAGACAGTTTTGAGAGCTGTCTCAGATAAACCTGGCAGGATCTGGAACTGACTTTGTGGGAACAAGCGTGAAAGGTGCCAAGAATGATCCAGAGTACTGACAGGCTGTTGGTTCTTGTTCACTGGGAAAGGAAACAGGTATGAAGGAGTGTGTCTAAATAATTTTGCTGAGTTCTGGGGTCTACATATAAGATGTGATGACCCCAAGTCTGAAGCTCAGGGAAGAAACTTACAAATCTGGGGTTTTTTGATACATAAATGGTTCTCACAGCCATAGGAGGACCTGGCAAGAATGCATTTACTGACTTTAAAGAGAAACAATCCTGGGACAGAGCCATGAGAAGTATCAGCAGAGAGAAACAAAAGCAAGGAAGACTGCAAAGGTCCATGAAAGGGCCAGGGAAGTGGAAAGCAGGTCAGAGAAGTAGGGTAGAGCAAGCAAATTAGTCCGCTCCTCCCCTTTCTCAGTCTTACCCACCAGGTCATGCTCCCCTTGCCTCCTCTATGGACCACTGCTCCAGGGTCCTAATGGTACCCCCCCATGTCCATCCTGCTATCCTGCATCATTCTCCACTTAGCTAGCAGCCATAACAATGGTTTAAGTGTAAAACACTGTCCTGGTTAACACCTAACAGGGCACTCAGGCGCATCTACTGAGTGAAGCCAGTAGTTCATGATACCAAATGCTGATAGAGGTTCAAGGGAAAATAAATGTGCAAAGCATTTTTTGGATAAGGACTGTGAAAGTTATGACCTTGGAGTGTAATCAGAGGTAAAGTTGAGACAGCAGTAGAGTGAAGAGTGAACAAAAGTAACTACTTATCAGAACATACTCTCCTAGAGAATAGTTCTTTGAGGCCATGAATTATATAATTTCATTTCAGTGTTCCTCACACAAATACAGGCCTGAAAAATAGGTTCGTAACAAATGCTTGTGTTATGGTTTGTGTCTAGATATCCCCCCAAAACCTCATGCCGTCTTGGGGGTGGACTTCTAGAATTTATGACCAATTCATGATCCAGTGCTAGGATTATGGGTGTGAGTGTGACACCTGCCCTGGGGTGGGTAGCCTGTACACACTAGAAGGGCAAGAAAGAGGCTTTCTCTCTGCTGCTCCTTCCTCATTTGCCCTGTTGTTTTTTCTGATTTCCACCACCATAAACTGTTGTCCTCTGCCATGTGCCATCCTGCCTTGGAGCCAGCCAAGTATGGACTGAAACATCCACAAACTCTGAGCTAAATAAACTTTTCCTTCCTGAATTCTGGGCATTGGGTATTTTGTCTTAGCAATAAGAGAAAAGTAATCAAGACAGCTTGATTAAAAATTGCTTCACAATTATACTGGTTTATAGTCAGACAACCTGTTGCACAGGTTTCATCTTGTGTGCTCTTACCATGGCTGAGTGAGAAAAATTCCAGGATAGACCAAATGTTCCAAGGTGAGTTGACTTCATAGCCCTTCCAATCAGTAAAACTACAGGGGTGTGGGAACATATCAACTTCTCACTCTCAATTTGGAAGAACTATGCAGTCCATAACCCTGATGAACAGGAGACTTACAGGTCGTAGTTTGCCATATGAGGCCTCAGGAGTCTGCCTGGATGCCTGTGAGAATCCTGGGGATTCGGCATGAAGGCTGTTTTCTAAGGGAGAGAACGAAAGAAACTCAATTTATTTGTGCTGTTAAGCAACAGAATCACTGATGTGTTTCTGAAGTGAAGATACATTGAGACTCTGCCCTGGGGAACCCTTACCTTGTGTTGAAGGAGATCGGGGGAAGAACTGGGAGCTCCTCTTATCTGGGCTAGGGTACGGGCTGCTGGGAGGCTGGTCATACAAAGGCAGTGGAGGCAGGGAGACATGCGGCTTTGGGGAAGGAGAGATCTGTTAACAAGGGAGGAAAGGTTAGCAAGCACTCTTGGCCTCAGGAAGAAAAGCTGGGCGCTTCTCTAGGGCTCAGAACATATTCCTCCCTGGAGCTAAGTTATAACTGTTAAAACTTGTCTGCCACATTAGAAGCAAATGGGCTTAAAGTACGTACGCAAATCCCAGTTTTGTGTGATACCTAACATTTTTCTTTCACAGATCTCACTATACTACTGATTTAAATTTACATTAAGTAGTGATCAAGTGAAACCATTCTCTGAGACACTATTGAAAATGTAGGGCCCCGGGAGATAGTTCAGTAGAATAAGTGCTTGCCTGGCAAGTGCAAGGTCCTGAGTTCAATCCCTGATACCGCAAAAAAAAAAAAAGTAATAAATTAGCCAATTCCATAAACACAGCAAATTACAAAATGAAAACAAACTGAGTTTTTCTTTATGTTAGATAAAATATTTGGCCAAGTTTGTGACTTCCCTAGGTTCTGTATATGAGGCTAAGTGGTAACGATTACCATTTAAACAAGACTGGCAAACATCTTATTCTGCTACCTGCAAGTCCTTCTGTGACAGATCCCCAGAGTGACTTAGGGATTTCCTGTAAAGGCAAGTTCCCTATGATGAGCAAAGGCTAGAGCCATGTGAGTGTGGGACAGGGGCCCTGGCAGGATCTGGACTGGGTAAGGGGGATCTGACAGTGCGAGGAGTCAGCTAAGAGTTGTACTACATAAACCAACCACACAGAATATATCCCTCTATGTTTTGCTTCTTCCTCTCCACCAAACCCATCTTTTGTATGTTATATGCAATTTAGGATTCTGGTTAATGGATTCAGAGAACAGAATATGGGAGTTTGGAGGTGTAGTATTCCACAAAGGCCTAACAAATCTCTATCTGGTTCCTCAGATTCAGTTTTGTAGATACCTGGTAACCAGAACTGGAATGGGGAGGGTGAGTCAAAGAGATTATTGGTCACTTTTTTTTTTAAAGTGGTACTAGGGATCAAACTAGGCAAAGTACTCTATCACTGAGCTACATCCTCAGCCCAAGAATGTACTTTTTCCTGGATCAAGAAACCTGTTGGGAGTCATTTTGCTTAATCAGTTTTTAATTCAACTCACTTCCCTCCTATGTACCTGAATCTCTTTCATCCATTGAGTGTCACCATTTTCTGAGGCTGAAAGTTCTTCCACTAGCACCGATGGGAAAACTCCAATCCGCCCATTGAACTCCCCTTCCCAGAAGCCATCATCATCTTGGTTTTCTTTGTTCAAAATTCGAATGATTGCTCCCTCAGGAAAAGACAACTCATCATCCGTCTGGCCTTCATAGTCATAAAGTGCTTTCACAAAACAGACTAGGGAGCAAGAGACAGACAAGTCTGGTAAGAACATTTATAGCTACACTGTTTCTGCACCCACCCTAAGCTCACCTGACAACTCAAAGACCGACACACAGAATAGGAGTGAAACTAATGTTTTTACTCACTGAAGATCAACTTTAGGACTCTACTGCACAGGACGAATGTGACCAAATACAGGAAAACAGTATAGAACAGAAATAAAGTGCTTTTAACCTACTGAACGCTTATTCCTGGGTAATACAGCTTAGGCCAAATGTGACCAAATAAAGAGTGCCTTGTCTCAGTCTTTACCACTGGCATCTCCGTTGAGGCTGCCTGAAACGAGTTCTGCTTCCGTAGAATTGCTGGATGTATGTGACCGACTATCCAAAGCAGCCAGGGACTGCAGCATGCTCAGTAAGCTGTTCGAGGTGGGAAACTGTAGGTATTTTTCTGGCACGTAACCCACTTGGCCAACTTTATTTCGAGCCTGGTGAAAGACACGTGACAAAAAAAGTTTGCATACACAGTCTGAACAGGAAATAACAAGAACCAAAAGAAACTCCTAAAATGTCACAAGGAGGGGTGATATGAGCAAAGGAATATACCTTTACCCAGTCTTCCATATCTCCATCTTCAATCACTTCTAACACCTCATGTTCCTCAATGGTCAACTCATCTGGTTGAGAAGCCTGCAATGTAGGATGGTCATGGACAAAATTATAAAGGTTAGATAAGGAGCAGATGTGAGTTGGCTGTAACAAAAACCGGGGACCAAATATTGAAATGATTTTGAGAAACAAAAAATTTTAATGTTGTAAAACTATCATAATGAGGTGAAGTTTTACTTTAAAAAACTGAACAAAATAAAACTGCAACAGAAACTGGATCCTCAAAAGGCCATCAGGTTCAGTGAAGAGAGCACCATAATGGAAGGAGAGGACCCGGGTCGGAGCTCCAGCTTATGGACGTACTGTAAATTACTCAATTTGACGCCTCCATCCCTTCCAAATGACAATCCTGCCATTCTCTGGAGGATGGGAGAGTCAAAATGGGATAAATAAGCACAGAACCATGATGACTTGGGAAGTGTAGGCAGAGGAGAAGGCACTGAAATGAAACTACCAGAGGGCTACCATGGAAGTAATGCTGTGGAGAAAAAAAACAAAAAAAACAAAAAAAAACTATGTATGTGGATTGGATGGTAGCTTGAGCAGTGCCTATACCTGATCTAGAACTGCTGTAAAACAGTGGCTAAAAGAAGAAAATTTTGGGAAAGGGATGACTGAGATCAGTCAAGGACTGGATTATGATTCAACTTCAGTGTAGAGTTTGGGCCAATCCCCCGTGGCTGCTTCTCTACAAGCTGTGTTTTATTACTCTGACGGCACCAGCCACCAGATCTGAGGAAGCTCTTCAGCAGCTCCACACTGCTTTGCCTCCTAAAGGGCCTCACCTGTCACATACAACAGGCAGGGGCTTGCTGGCATCTTCTGGGTCTCCAGTAAAATAGCCTTAAAATTTTTCTGTAAGTCCTAAGGTCAATTAAAACTATCAAGTGAAACTACAGTTTTTGAAAACTCCAATGGGAACGTGTAAGATATCTCCCAATTATACAAGCAAAAAGAAGGAAAGAAAGTCACTTCCTAAGACCCATTTGTTACTGCATGAATATTAAAACATTTCATCAGAACCTAAAATTCTGGATATTTCCATGGCTTTTTCAAACAAAAAAAAGGACTGTATTGAAAATGGATCACTAAGACCAACCAGAGAATACTCCAGGGAACAAATTTTAAGTAAATCACTTGTGATCTAAAAACATGAGGGGAAAATACCACTCTTCATATAGCTTTTCCACTGGAATTTCTTTGTTACTCTTTGACCACACTGCCTTGAATATACTAGCAAAATGCACCCTGGTAATAAAGACGTACTCCAAATTACACGGCAGGACTTACAGTATCAAACAACTAGAATTAATGTGTGTTGAGAGCAAAGCAGGTGGGACCAGAACACCTTTCAATGTTGCTGCCTCCATGAGACAGTCACAAGGTCCTTGTACACTGTGCGTTGTTCAGCAGAAGCAGGCACCTGTGAGGTTGTGCTGGTCCTCTGCACTGATGACCACAGTTCCACTTAACAAGGCTGATCTTTGCCTGGAGAGCAAGACCTACAGATTTGGGCCCTGGGGCCTCAAGGTGCTCTGGACCAGCACATTCTTCCCCGTTCACTGAGGACACTGTACTCTTCCTTGTCTTTTTTTTTTTTTTTTCTTCTTCTTTTTTCTTTTCTCTTCCTTGTTTTTATCCCTCTACTGAGCTGGTCCTTCAGTCTGGCATGCTCTGCTCTGTCCTCCCCATCTGATGAGTAAGTCAGATTATTGCTAGATAAACCCAGCTTCAGTCTGCTTCTGTGTGCCTTTGAGTTTCAGTTTTTTCCTATTATATGTAAACTCTACAAAGGCAGTGTCTGTTTTGATCAATGCTGCATTCTAGAGTCTAGAAAAGGGAACAGAACTGTGATAGATGATTTGTTTGATAATATCTTCCTTACAGGGTTATTAAAAAGTTTACAAATAAAAAATAGTAGCTATTATTGATATTAATGATTTGTAGTCCAGCTCATATATTTCCCCAGACCATTCATAAGTTAGTTGCTTCCTCTTCCTTTGGTTGCTACCCAGCTTTGTGCAGCCCTCTAACGTTGACTACAGTGGCATTCTAGTTGCTTGTCCTGTGAGCTCCCTGCTAGAACGACTTAGTTAAGACAGAGACTATTTCTTCTCACGCATACGACAGGTAGCAACTGGTCAGTAAATGGCTATTAAATATACACATTTTTTTTTTGCCTCCTATATACACATCTCCTATGTCCTAGTATCCAGTGACAGAATCTATTTCCATCTATGTCCCTCCAATTTCCTGTATTTTCTTTAAAGCAATATGATTTTCCAGATTTCAAAAATAATCTATGGGTTGGTGAGATGGCTCAGTGGTCTAAGGCACCTACTTAGAACAAGCTTAGCAAAGCACAGGGACCGTGGTTCGATCCCCCAGCACCACATGCCAGCCAGCCCCGTCCCCTGGTGGGCTGAGCTGGCCACACACACACACACACACACACACACACTAAATAAATAAATAAACTTAAAAAAATGATCTATGTTCATTGTAGAAAAGCTGGAAAACATGCATAATTGACATATAGAAGGTACATAAAATTTGACACCCTTTAAAAAATTTATCATTATCCTTCTTCCTTGCCAGGGAGATGGCTCAGTGGAATAAGCGCTTCCCTGGCAAGCGCAAGAGCCTGAGTTCAATCCCTGGTTCAGGGAAAAAAAAAAAAAAAAAAAAAATCAGGTGATTATCCTTCTTCCTACATAAAAATTCTTAGTAATGTAAACATCATTCATAACAATATTATGTTATTGTTATATTATATGAATAGCTAATTTATTTCCTTCTGGATGGCCAATGTCATCGTATTATACAGTATAGTAGGAAGATGATTTTTTTTTTTTTTTGCAATGCTAAGGATTGAATCAAGGGCCTGGCTCATATTTGATAAGTGCTTTACCTACTGCTTAGCTAAACTCTCATCCCTAAAAGAAATGTTCTATATTGTGGTTTATTTCCTTAGGGTGGATACTAATAGGACTGAAAGTTTTTTTTAACTTTTTAAAAAAGTTATGACCATTCTTAAGGCTCCTGAAGTATTTAATCTAACCATTAAATACAGTGTTTCTTTGTTTTTGTCACATCAATCTAGGCTTTCTTTGTTGTTCTACAACAGTGTTGTCAAACCTATAGCATGTGCGTTGCAGTGAGCTGTTTGTATCACCAGAAGTGCCAAAAGGTTTGTTATCACTGACAGACCACAAGAATCATGCTGAGGGTTAATCTCTATTTTTTTTTTTTTGCTGAACCAAGGATTGAACTCAGGCCTTTGCACTTGCCAGGGCAGTGCTTATTCCACTGAGCCATCTCCCTGGCCCCAATCTCTATTTTTTTTTTTTTGAGTGTTTCTCCCTATGCTGCCCAGGCTGGCTTCCAACTCTTAGGCTCAAGGGATTTTCTCCTCAACCTCCTGAGTAGCTGGGACTATGCATGTATGCCACTGTGCCCAGCTAATCTCTCTTTATTCCAATCTGTTCCCCATAGGATGTCTACCATGTGTTTCCAACCTGAGGCCCACAGACTGCTTGTCCTCTTTTCAAAATAATTGTTTTTTTCTTTTTCTGGAGGGTGGTTCAGACGGGGTCTTGCTATGTACTACTATTCAGGCTGGTCTTAAACTCATGGTGATCTTCCTGTCTTAGCCTCCCAAGTGTTAGGATGGCAGGCACTTGATGTTATAATTTAAAAAATACATAAAAATAACTTTTGTTACTTATATAGTAACTATATTGTATATTTTTGTATGAGATCCAAAACAAGTCCTCTTCACTTGGTGAGGCCCAGGCAAGCTAAACATTTGGACACATCTGGTTCTATATCATGACCAGGGTTACCTTTATTTTTGTTTTGTTTTGTTTGCTTTTTGATATAGGGTCTTGCTATGTAGTTCAGGCTGGTTCTGAATTCATTATGTAGCCAGGTTTGTCTTAAACTCATGGCAATCCTCCTGCCTCATCCTCCTAAAATGCTGGGATTACAGGCATGTGCCACCATTCCGAGGGTTATCTTCTTAGAAGTCCAATCTTTTTTTAGGACAGCTAGTGGCTCTTCCAAGCCAGGAAAAAAAACATCCTTATGAGGCTGATAGACCAGCCCCTTTACTGTCTGGCAGCAAACACTGTGAAGCCTGTCCTCCCTCTTGGTACTCCCATAGCACTGAAAGTAACTTGTCCCAAACATCTTGCACTGTTATCTCACTGTCTCTATATCTGCTGTTCTTTGCTTAGAAGGCTCCTCCTCCTCCCTACCTACTTACTGTATCTAGAAAGGTATTATTTATAATCTAATTTAAATGCTTCCTCATCTGTGAAATTCCTCTCAAATATCGTCAGTAGAATTAGTGACATTACTTTACTAAAAATCTTTTCATACGTGTTACATTTTTCAGATTAATATTTATTCTAAGACTATCCATTCCTGGAAGGTAGGGATAATGTCGTGTTCATTTTTGTCTTCTAAAAGTTATCACATAGTGGTTTAATGATTAACTACACAGATGTGTATGTTCTGGTTAACCACAGGGACACATCTAGGCTAAGCCAATGGAGTGAATACTGAATGAATGTGAGCTGTTTAAAATCATGTTGCTTTCATGGATTTTCAGTAGGGAGCCAAAGAAATTTGAAAAAAGTAAGATTCAGTTTGGCTGGTAATAAGAACTATACAGTTAGGCACTGCATAACATTTGATCAGATACCTAGGGTTCTGCATTTAAGGACATTAAATTTTAATTCTGGAACTTTTAAGTAAATATAACAATGAGAGATGACATCAGATAACATTATCAACCCTAGTCTTATAATACTTGTATCAGTTAGGGTTTTACTAGACGAACAGATATAACACAAGACTTATAAATGTGTAAGAAATTATAAGATTGGCTTATGATGGTTAGCCATAGAGTCGGACGAGGAAGCGTGCAGAGTCTGCATGCTGGAGACTGAAGGATTTAGTCTAAGGTCTGGACCTCACTGTAGTGTTCTGTAGGCCGACGGGTCTGCAGCAACAGA